ATTTTACTCTGGGGTTAGCCTGGCTACAGAACATAAATTCCAGTGTTTTGGTAATGTATCTACTGTAATAGAATGGATAGCATCTCTGCCTCAAGTTTCTGCAAATGAACTTTGTTTCATCAATGCAGAAAGAACCACATTTTCTCTATCAGTATCTTATTCCAATACTTAAAGACCCCAAAATAAATTGGATGGCCCAAATCATAATGAGAAAATTCTATGAACAAGAAGAATGGAGGTCCTTGATAAAAACAAGAAATGAAAAGCAAAATCAGCTTTCCAAAGCAGTCTAATTTGCCACTAATAAAGAACTCTCAGGTCTGCACCGTAGTGGCTAAAACTTCCAAAATCTCATCTTTTTGAAACACAACTCATTTTTATGTTGGTATCCAAGTTATTATGGAAAACTTAGGTAACTACAGGTAAAGAAAAGTGAAGAATGGACAGTAACAGGTGGATATTTTGGTTAACAATTTTTTGACCTGAAGTGTCTTGTTGCTTGATTCCCTATTTTATTCTTCCACAAAGATGTGGTGATAATGTTTTGTTTTGTTTTACAATTTGTTTTACAATTCCAATTAACATTCCAAAGAGTCTTTTGATTTGGAAAACCAGTTATTATGAAATTAAATGTCTGAACAAATTATTAAAGAGTTTTACCTAGGACACAAGATATATAATAAGCTTCTTGATGAAGAAATACTGCTTTCTTTCAGGGTCCTACATAGTAATGTAATGATTACCAGTTCTATTCAAGCTCCTTGACTAACTTTACACAATTCACTTATATCTTTCCATGTCTCAAATTTCTCCTGAGCTTATTCTGGAGGAATTTCCCTAAGGGTGAATAATATGTCTAATGTATTGTTAAGTTATCCACAGAAAGACCAGTAAACCAGGTTTTCCCAAAAAACCAAAAACATTTAACAGGATAGTATTATTGCCACAACAACAGTATCATTGCTACAGCTGACCTATTAGCTTGATGAACTTTTCAAGTAAATATATTCCTGGTAGAGTATTTTCTTGTATGCATTGCCCATTTATTTCTCATAAATGGTTGCATATTCTGTCAGGCTGACTATCACAGAAGCAGACAACTGGCACTTGGGCCATTCATAATATGATGGTGGATATTCCTAACCCTTTCTCTTCTGGGCCAATATTTGCATGAATAAAATGTGAGTGACATTCTGACCTTAAGGAAGGAGTATTTAAAAGAATGCCTCAACTTTCATGAGTTTGCCAGAGAGTTAAAGAGATTCACGCTGGTTTGAGTTTCATAAAATGGCAGGAAATTAAATATTAAACTCACTTTGAGATGGCAGTATGTAAAATGTGATCAGATTCTTAGTTTCATGAAATTTTCCCTTAATATGCTAAAAGCACAAACATACGTGGGTATAACATATATATACACATATAAATGTATACGCACATATACATATATACATGCAAATGTATGTATCTTACATGAAATCATGGCTTAGATACTGGACAGTGTAAAATGAAGTACAATACATTCACAATTATAAAACGACATCTAGAGACCAAGTACTTCAAAAAGAATTTTTTCTAAAAAGAATGGATATAATGAAGGAGACAACATCGGGGACCAATAAATTATGATTGTTCTGTGTCTTCGTTAAATGCTGGTTTGAATATTTCTGTATTAGAATAAGTTTGGGGTCAGACAAAGAGAAAGCAGTAATGAAAAAATACTTATTTGTAATCTGAACTTTCTCAAAGTATTTTTGAAACTTTAGCTTTTTAGTTACTCACATGAAAAACTTAGAATAAGATTTCATTCTCCCCATTGTTTTTCTCAAGATTTCTCTCTGTTAAGTGCTTTAGCAGAAATTTTGTGTTTGTCAGTATTTTAGGTTCAATGTCCTTCTCCTCATCAAGTATTATGCCAAAAAAAAAAAAAAAAAGCATGGAGGACCCTATGGTAGTGACAACATTATGAGAACTAAGTCTTAGAGATAAAATGTTCTAATTTCTTCATCAATTTAAAATGCAGCTCAAAATAAATAATAACATAAATATTACTAAAGAACACTCAAGTGAAGTAATAAGAACTGGAATATGAATTCAAACTAAATTATTTAAAAATATTTTCCTTCCAAAAAATATAAAATCAAGCATTACTTAAAATGCAGAATTGTGGCTCTTCAGAAGTGACTCAAGGGGCAGCTAGGTGGCATAGTGGATAGAGCACTGGCCCTAGATTCAGGAGGACCTGAGTTCAAATCCGGCCTCAGACACATAACACTTACTAGCTGTGTGACCCTGGTCAAATCACTTAACCCATTGCCTAGCCAAGGAAAAAAAAAAAGAAAAGAAACATCAGAAGTGACACAAGTATCAAGTATGAATTTTGTAGTTTTATAATTAACAGAAACAATAAAAAATATTTTCAAAGATACCAGGGTGAAAAAAACAACTAGTGAAATAAGTTTCAGAAATTATTGCCACAGATGTTCCCCACTTAAATGGCAATACACTACTATTAAAAAAAAGTATATGTGTGTGTGTGTGTGTGTATGTATATATGTTCTGTATTTGAATTCAAGAATTTAAATGAAGACAAATAGGCATTTTTTTCTTTTCTTTTACAACAGCCATATCAACAAGGTTTTCCTTTGTTTTTCAGTTGAAAAGATCTCCAAAATAAATGACCTAACATAGTATGTTATCTTGCAAGTCTCCTATGTACTTACACTATATTACATAGTAGAATTCTGTGTTTGTATCTTATTCTACTAGACTGCAAGCTCTTTGAGAATAAGGACAACAGTATTTAAACTTTCTATTGCCTTTGGTGACTAGAACAGTATTTTGTATACAATAGGTACTTAGTTAAGAAATTTTATTTAATACATAGCTATGTAGTTTCATTATATAAACAGAAATACTTCAAGGAACAAGATAAGAAGACTCAATTAATTATTTTGTCAATGTTAAGTTTAAACTGCATTTTCTATTCTCAAAAATACTAGAATAAAAAAGGTTTAGTGATAGCAGAAAATGCTCATTTCATCAAATTGATATACACTTATTAAGTATCTATTTTGTGCCATGCACAATGCTAAGTGTTTGGTATACAGCGGGAAAAAAAAAAGTCCCTGCCCTCAAGGAGCTTACATTCTACTTAGAGGAAATGGCAAGTATGTAGACAGAAAAAGACAAAAAACATAAAAAGTAAATACAAAGCCATTTCTAGCAGGTAGACTCTAGCAACTGCGAGAGACTTTGCTACTGCCTAATTATCTTTTTACTTTTCTGTGTGATAATCCAAAATTGTGTACACCTGGAGTATTTTGTGTCACTATAGTATATGAGATGAAAACAGTTGCTTTCTTTACTAAGGATTCAGATGTCAACAGGAACTCAAAAAGTGGGATGTCTATAACTATGTGGAATGTATCAGTGGTATAATATGGATAGAAATCGATTGAATGATATATTAGCTATGGTGCTTAGAAATTTGGATAGACATTCTTCATAAAATGAGAGCTTAGCACAGCAACTTAGCCTCTAAATGAAGGCAAAGAAACTCAACTTCTACGAAAAAATGTTTTTAACATTTAACACTTTGGAGAAGTTGCTTTTGGAGAAGTCTTTTGAAACCAGTAATTTATAAGGAGTTAGATTAGTTACTACATTCAAGAAGAGTGGAGTTATTCAGTTAAAATAAAAAATGCCAAAGGTCTAAATATTAAATTAAGAGAATTCAAATCATTGAAAGAAATTTTTAAAAAACTAAACAAGAAACTAACAAATTGCAAACTAATCTTTAAACTTCATAATGTCAATTAACTGTAGAAAAGATCTTTGAGGCCTGAAAATGTCATAAACACTCACTTTACCCTGATGAAAACAGATGCAGTTTTCCAAACTCTGATGCACTTTAAAAAGACCAGATGCAAAGAGAGCTATATTGAACACATGAATTTTAAAACAGCTTCAGATTTGAAATATAAGTATATACAATTACATTCCAGCTATAGTTTCTCCAAAGTTACATCTATAGAAACACCCAAACAACATATTAAATCAGTTAACGAAAATCAGTCAACACAGCTGATACTGTTTAGACTAATGAGCTGCTTGACAAGCTACATTTTTTACTTGGTATTCTTGCTGCCTTGTAATTTTTAAAGTGCAACTTGAACGTTAATTCCAATTCTAACTTCTAGTGGAGAAAGAGGAAAAAATCATGCATATTTATAAATGAAGTGTTCTGATTAAAAAATAAGGCTTTGACCTTGGAAATACTTATGTATATAAGAAAAAGAATGAGACCTGATATAACAATTTCATAAGACATTCTATATAAAGTATCCAAGTTTTTTGTGAAAGTAAACAATGTGACAAACTATAAGAGTACAGTTTCTTAAGTAATTCTTAAAAGTCTATAAACAGTGAAAGGAGACTATGTAACCTCAAAGACATACACACAACAAAAAAGGTCTACACTTAATTTGCAAGAAGGAATATTCTGTGCCTTAGTAAAACACCTGTCTTGGTTGTTTTCTGCATCTGATGGTCAAAAATTTTAAAAAGAAAATATTAGAGGTTTTAAAGAAAGACCAAAATCAAATATTTCTGTAACTTACAAAAATTGCTCTAAAGAATGTAAATTTTGTTTTGTATAAAACAAACTGTAAGGAGAGAAAGTATGAAAAGAACTAAAAAGTAAAATTCTTTGAAAAGTAATGATAAAAAATGAAGTTATATCACTAGATTGATGGCATTCTTTTCCCTTGGTCTATATAGACTACTTAACCTATAAAAGAATGGAGACATTAAGATAACCTAAAAAGAAAGGACCTATGCATCGTTTAGCTCAGGATGTAATGTAAATATCCCATATTAAAACACAAAATAAAAGTGAAGTAATCTTTTTGATAGTTAAATAAAGAGATCTTTTCCCAAGGTTGGCAATCTTACTTTGTGAAGAATAGTACTGCAGGATAACGTCTGAGAATTCTTACCTTGCCCACCTAAGCGGCTAGGACTCGTTTCTCGACTACATCCCTGACTCCGTGGGATCTTGCTCCGTTTATCTGAGGATGAGGGGACAGGTGTACCTCTGGCAGATCCTCCTGTGAGTCCACTGTAAGAACTTCCCAACAGTTTTCCTGGGGAGCTTGATCGGCTACCAGCTAAAAAGTAAGGCGAGAAAGAAATGCTCAAGGGAAATGAATAAATAGCAATGACTTATGAAGGTTGTTATGAAGCACCATTTAGGGCCAAACCCCTGAAGGGTCATATTTAAAAGTTTCATTTTTCATTACCAGTAAGCTAGCTCAGTGCCTAAAATAATTCCGCAAAGTATTAAACTTAACTGTTGCTACAGCAAAACAAAAGATGAGTAATTTGCCTTCTTTATAACCCTATATTTTTCATAGCATATTTATAAAGAAAAAAGGGGGGGGAATATCAAGAAACATAATAACATGGAAGTCTTAAAATCATTTCACCTTTACAGCCAATATATTCCTAGGTAAAAGAGGCAAGAAACTTCTGTATTCATGGTTCTGGCATGGTGAGACAGACTATATGGCAAACCAAAAAAAAAAAAAAAAAAAAAAGAAACCTCCCTGTGCAGGCAACTATTACTATCATTCAAATCACTTTCAGTGCTTGCTCTCAAAATGAATACTCTTAAATACTGAAACATTCACAATTTAATTTCATTGCAAAGAACAAGAGATGTTATTACGATAATCTACCCCATTATCAAGTAGTTATCCTTTTAAGTTCCAAGTGTCACCACAAACAACCCAAATATTTAAATAAACCATTATCTTATTGGGGGAAACAGTTTTCCAACTCAAATTCAAATACATTGGAAAACTATGAGAAATGTGGGGAAAGAGAGAGAGGGACAGAGAGACAGAGAGACAGAGCTCTTATGTAAGGCACTGGGGGTGGATGGATATTATGCAAGGGGTTTGGGATGGGGGAGGACACATAAAAGCAACAAGAGAAATGTCTTACCACCAGCAGGATTAGCAGATCTGGATCCTTGATTATGAGAGCAGACCAAAGGACAGGCAAAAAGTGGATTAAAAGACAATAAGACGATACAGAACGTCACCATGCAGCATTTGTTAGGTACAACACCAAAGTCTTTATTTACAAACACATTTAACAAAGTAAACTTACTGAGGTCTTTTGCTATTAATTGGTCTTCATGAAATTCTATTGTAACTCTCTCAATCTTCAAAGACTTATTACTACTATAAAAACACTGTATCATGTTCAAATCCTTTTAATGAACAGGACCCTAGAGTGTCTATTAGAGTGCAGAGAACTCTCACTGACTTCCAAGGAATAACTGGGTGACTGGGGGTGAGATGTACTGTGCTACGTAATTCTGATGAGGTTTGAAGGACAAAGTTTCCCAGATCAAACGATTTAACATCTTGGCATGCAAGATGACCCAAATAAATGAAAACTTTTAAGGTACACTGCCTGAAAATCCTTGCTCCACACAGCTATCACATGGCATAACCAATAGCAGTCCCCCTGTAATGTTACCTGTTTGTTAAAGACATGAAAAAATGTTAAAATTTATCTTACTCTGCCACCTATTTCAAGTAGAATATCATCATCGTCATCATCTAGTTCTAGCATTTACGTATGGCACTAAAGAAATGCAAATCACTTTAGATATTATCTCATTTGATACAACAATCCTGTGAGGTACGTGCTATTATTATGCCTATTCTAAAGATAAGGAAAGGGCACTGAAGTGGCACAATGGATAGAGTGCCACACCTGGAGTCAGGAAGACCTGAGTTTAAATCTGGCCTCAGAAACTTACTAGCTATGTGACCTAGGCCAAGTCACTTGACCCTGTTTGCCTCAGTCACCTCATCTGTAAAATAAGCTGGAGAAGGAAAAGGCAAACTGCTCCAGAATCTTCGGCAAGAAAATCCCAAACGAGGTCTTGAAGAGTTGGACATAACTGAAGTGACTTAACAACCAAACAAGATAAGGAAACTGAGGCTGAGAGAGGTACAATGACTTGCCTGGGTTCATACAGTTAGTTTAATGTCTATGGCAGGATTTGGAGTCGGGTCTTTCTCATTCCAAGTCTACGGTACCACGGAGATGCCTCTAGAATAACCTACTCAGTCTACATATGTAGAAAAAAAAAACAAATGTTACTCTTTATGTGCAAATTCACAGACAGATTCTACGTGCATCTAAAATGACTTCAGACCTCAGCTGCTTCCCAGGCTCAGAGGCTGATCTGAATCATCTATGCTGGACATAAACAGAGAAGCAACAATGGAGACTAAGCAAAGCAGGAGGCCAGGCCAGCAAGAAAGGCAGGAACAGGGTGCAAATGTGAGGAAAGAAAGGATACACAGGAATGCTTACTGCATTTACTTATGACCAATATGTACAGAATTAAGCAGAAAGGAATAATTATTATAAGAGTATTTTAACCATGTCATACAGTATGCCTATCAAAATAGAAACAATTCCTTTTGAGCTGTATTATAAATCATAAATAATTACTAATCCAGGAGGTCTGGGATCAGGCCTGGAAACTGTGACAAGAAACAAAAGAGAATGCTTGGGGTAAGATTTCTCACAGAAATCTAAGGTTGCTTTACATTAACGACTATTTGTTTTTGCTTGATAGATCTAATAATGACTAAAGTGATGTAAACCTATCTCAGTTTATACTGGATGATCAAGATTGTGTTGAAAAAACAAACTATGAGAATAAAAAACATTTCTTACGCTGGGACTGTGAAACCACTTTAGCTCTGCTGCGGCCACGGTTATCAGGGGTGGTGGTGACACTGACTGCACTCCCAGAGCTTTGCCGTCGCGTGCGTATCCGACCTGAAAGATTGAACAGAAATGAAACTTCTATTTCATATTTGAAATAAATGCCCTATACAGGTGAAAGCAGGCACTAGTCACTACCCAAAAAAACCATGGGGCAAAATATGACTGTGCATGTGGGGGACGGAATCCTCCACTGTGCACAATAAGAGAAATTCTGTGCACAGGCAATCTTTTGAACATAGCAACAAATGCATGATCTACACATAGTCTGTAAAGTGATCTTTAATAGAATACAAAAGCCTCTTATTGAAAACACAAACCTAAGAGTTATCCAGGATAAAGAAACATGCCAAATGCACACCATCCAACCAGTCTAGCCTACAGCCCATTATCTCTCAGAGCAGATTTTAAGGTGATGAGGTAATAGCTAAAGAAATGTTTTCCATGAATTTCAAAATAAGTTTTATAGTTATCTTTCATCATAATTTTAGTTTCTTGGAAACCTAGTTATGCCAGATTGCATTGAGAAACGTGCAATAGGAAGAAAAGTTGAAAAAAGAATCCATTCTCATCTAGTCATCAACATGAGTGCACATCACCTTGAAAATGAAGATTTCATGGAACTCAATATAAAGCTACTTTGAGAATATCACAAGCCTTCAGAATTAATAAGAAGATAAATAAGATGTTAGCTGCCTAGAGATACATAGTCTAAAAAATAATTTTGTGTATTCAACAATTACAGAAAAATTTTCTTGGCAATGACTACTATCACTACACAAAGCAATCTGAACTTCCTTGGGGAAATTAAAAAGCTGAAACATTTCTGAATAAAATGATCAGAAATAACAAACACTTGCAAGATAAGCTAATTACCCAAATGAGGCGAATTTTTTCTTTGTATAAGACTTCCCTAATTTCTAAGGACAGATATCACACAAACAATACAATTAAAAATAAGTGCATTAAAAAAATAAACTTGAAGACACTCATTAAAGTGTCCTCAAATCATTTTTTGCCTTAAAATACTAAAATTTTAAAAAAGAAAATATTCCTTTCAGCATATGGAAAATGAAGGCATAAGGGTGAAAAAAAGCCTAATGATGAAGACTTGAAGAAAATAAGTGTGGGGGAGAAGGGAAGGAGAAGCATTAAGAGGAAGCTTTGGAAAACAGCTACAGTTTTCAAAAACACTGCTATCTTTTAAGGAAAAAGAATCATACGCTGGGATTTTTAAGGAAGGAGAATGTTTGAGGATGTTGTAAATACAGAGCAAAAGAAATGGTAGACACTCAGAAAAATCAATCAGTGGTGAGAGGCATGAAGGGAAAAAATGTTCTAATTATCCACTTCAAAAAATCAACAGGGAACACAAAATTTTATTCAATAAACATAGCAAGTAATTTTTTAGTTTTGTATTATGATAAGGCTTGGGAGGCATGAGGGAGAAAAGGAGAATGATAAAGGGTAAGGAAAGTACAAAGAGGTAAGAGTATAGAAATAGACATAGACAAGTATATTTAGCAGAAGAAAATCAACTCTCTGATGTATTGAACCAGATGTTTACACAGAACAGAAGACAGGCAAAGAGACTATAAACCTCTATAAAATAATTATCCAATCATATATTTTAAGGACATTGTTACTAAAATGTTTTAAAGCCACCTTTGCCTTTTTAGAATTGCAGACATATATAGAGATATCACCTCTTGGTACTTGATCCATGGGTCAGATGGAATGAAGTCAAAGCCCCAATCCAGCATAAAGATTAATAGATCTATTAACTTTGGTTTAGCCATCAGTATCTTAAGCCAAGACTACTGTAGTTTTTACCTTCACAAGAAAAGACAATATGATGTAGGCTGTAACATATATAGGACATTTATAATTTAATAGAAATGGGTAGTTCCCTCATTCTTGCTTTATATTCTTCACATGTTCTAAATTCCAAATTTTGTATTAAGAATTCGAGTAAGTCCATCTAGCTAATGAAAATGTAAAGAGAATCAAATAAATCTACAGTACCGTGATACTAGTCTGCTTAACACATTCCTCTATTATGCTATTGCATTTTATGTATGCCTTAGTATGAGGTGGTCCATGACATGTGGAATACACTCCCCCTCATCACCTCTGTCTTACAGAATTCTCAGTATCCTTCAAAGCTAGCTCAAAAGCCACTTCCAAGCTGAGGCCTTCTTTGATTCCCCTTGTTAAAAGCACTCTTCTCCCTCCTGAAATTTGCCCAAGTTTCTTGAGCATAGAGATTTTCATCTTTTTATCCCTAGTACCTAGCAGAGTGCCTTGCACATACAGAGTATATGTTTAATCAATGGTTGTGGAATAAATAATGAGGTATTATTTACGGTTATCTCAGAAACAGAACCCAAAACATGTATTTTGTATTCTCTTGCATTTTTCTGACAATTCTAATACAGACTAGGAGAAATGACATTTATAAATTTAGTTCCAAAGATGTCTGCCAACAGCTTTAGATCTCTGAAACCCTCCATATTCTCCTGAAGTATCCTGGTTTCTGTCTCTATAAAGATAAATTTCCCTGTTTATTTTCTTTTTAGTAAAATTTTCAACATTGGAGAAATTACCTAATTAAAAACCCACTAAACAGTGCAGCTTATCATAACACTGTACTTTAGTTCTTTCTTTGCATTCCAGACATGTGCCACCATAAATTTTGGTTACACAGTTTTGCCCAGAATAAAAAACAGTATGGTAAAGTACAGTCTTTTGGCTATGTTTTTGTTTTTTTGTTTTTTTTTTTTTTTAAGTCAATTGGGGTTACATGACTTACCCAGGGTCACACAGCTAGTAAGTGTTATGTGTCTGAGGCCGGAATTGAACTCAGGTCCTCCTGAATCCAGGGCCCATGTTCTATCCACTGTGCCCACCTAGCTCATTGGCTATGCTTTAATATGACTTAATATAACTAAAATATTCCCATAGGGATTGTTTTTGTTATGAGAGAACTTACATTTTCTTCTTTTTGTTTTTCAGTCTTTTGACTTTATGTGAGTATGTCCTGGCATTCATGAAGTCATTGGATTCTTTTTAGACCACAATAATTTTCAGGGAGTTTATTGCCTGGGCAGGGTTTTATACCTCTGTGCCAAGCTGTTACTTCATTTTTCATTTTTTTCTTTCAAAGCTTTTATTTCTTTTCTAATTTTTTCCTCTACTCTTCTCATTTCATTTACAAATACATTTTAAAACTAAAAAAAAAAATTCTTGCTTCATCTCTTCCAGAAATTCTAGCTGAATTTGTGCCCAAGCTGTGTTTTATTTTAGGCTTTGCTTATAGATGTTTTGAAGTCATTCTTTTCCTCTGGGTTTGTGTCTTGAGAATCCCTGGCTCTATAACAGCACTGTATGTCTGGATTATTTTTTTGTTTGATAATCTTTCTAGCCTTTTTCCTGACTTCAGACTTTCAGTTACAGCCAGGCTCAGTCTACTCTGAAACCAATGTCTGGGTAGGTCCTACTGCAGCTTTCATGGGGCCCTGAGTGTTGTGTTATGCCAGGACCTCAGAATCAGGCTAGGGACCTGCAAGCTTTTGGTGCTCCTAAATTGGTCTGATCCAGGCCAAAGTCTGAATCCTCAAGTCTGAACTCTGCTAGTTTCTGGGCTGGTTTTGGATCTAAGCAGCAGACTTGTAGACTGACCCTGTTTGGAGTTGGAGAAGACGGCTGTTTTATTCAGCCACTAAAAACCAGTTGGAAAATCAGCTGTTTCTTAGTGGCGGAATTGCAGGCTTCCCTTGGATCTAGGATTCTTGCCCTCATTATTTTGCTGCAGGCTTGAGACTGGGATAGAGGTTGAACTTGAGACTATGCTCAGTTCCCTGGATCCAAGCCATACATAAATATTTTCCCTCAGCTTATTCTTTGAAGAAAAAAGAATCCTTCATATATATTAGGTTTTAAAAAAAAGTCACTATTAGAGAATATACATGAATTTGCTCAAAGGAGCCCAATTTTTTCACCTTAAACTGCCTATTTGTCAAGTCTAGATTTTCTTTAGAGAGAATATTTTCAGTAATTTGATACGTAAAATACCGTAAGCAATGTGGAAATTTGCTAGCATGAAAACAGAACTAAAAAGATCTTAGTACTCCATATGTAAGTATACATCTTAGAAGGCCTTTTCACATATACTGAATATTCTGTAAAATATTTTTCTTAATAATAATGATAATAACTATGAACATTTATTTAGCACTTACTAGGTGCCAGGCACTGTGCTAAGCACTTTACACAACTATTATTTCACTTGATCCTCACAACAACCCTGGGAGGTTGTTATATGGTAAGTATTATTATTTCCATTTTATAAATGAAGAAACTGAGGCAAACAGAGGTTAAGTGACTTTCCCAGGGTCACACAGCTAGTAAGTGTTTGAGGCTGAATTTAAATTCAAATTTTGATTCCAGGCCCAGTTTTAAATCCACTGTACCACCTATGTAATTAATCAAGTATTTATCAAGCATTTATTGTGTTCTAGGAGCTGTTAGGTGCTGAGAATACAAATTCAAATAACAAAATGGTCCCTACTCAGGATAAGCTCACATGTTAATGGAGGAGAAAGCAAGGACATATAAAAATATGTGCAGCATAGATAGGAGGTTCACACACACACACACACACACACAAACATACATAGAGAGTACTTAAATACAAAATACCATGGGAGGAAGGGCTCTATCAATTAGGGTATCAGGAAAGATCTCATACAGAAGATGGTGTCTGAGCTGCATCTCATATTCTAAGAATGAGGAAAGGGGTCAGAACATATGAACAGAGATGAGAGGTGGAATGTCATGAGTGAGGAACAAAGAGAAGGCCAGTTTAGCTAGGCTACAGAGCTCAGAAAGGTGTGTAATATCCAAAGAGGTTAGAAAGATAGGTTGTGTCCAGATTGGTTAGTGTTTTAAAAGCTAAACAGAGGACTGTACATTTTATTCCAGAGGCCAGAGGAAACCATTGCAGTTTGAGTAGATTAAGTGACACAATCAGATCTGTATTTGAGGAAAATTAT